TATGCTACTGGGGTATTATTATTAATTTTTATCATTATTATTTAGTAATTTGACAGGTCAAAAAAATTGTCTAATTGCTAACAGTGACCTCTTCACTGATCTTCCTGGAGTCATATCCCATTCCAAATAAGCCTCCACAGTGCTGCTAGAAAGATTTTTCTCTAAAATTCAAACTTGATCATACCACTTGTATACTAAAGCCAATCATTGGTTCCCCATTCCTTAGCAGGTCAAGCCCTTGGTCTAGGGAATTTTATCAGCCCTTTCATAACATGACTTTTGCTTACATTTCCAGTGTCATTTTTACCCTCTCTACCATATCCTCCTCTTGAGTAAAATTAAACCATTTACAGTTCTCTAAAATGCCTGTTTCGCATTTCTTTTCATTTTCACGTGTTATTCTCTCTGTCTTGAATGCCTTTCCCCTCTTGGTTTGCAGCACTCACAAGCCCTTTTTAGAGAGAAGGCAGGAGATGGATGGGGTGTTCCATTCCTGAAAATGGGAGTGCTACTGTGATCAGCACTATCCTGGACCTTCTTATCCTTGTTCCCATGGAGATCTGTTCCAGCCTTTCACATGGCAACTACACTTCTGCTCTCTGTAAAACCCCTTACATCATGATGTGCCTTCTCCCAATAATTTCTTCTAAGTAGCTTTCATAACATTTTTGTTGAATCTTCCTGGCTGCAGTGGTGTTTACACTGCCCTTCATAATGCCAAAGGATATCTTTCAGTGCCTATTTGCCTGATTCTGTCTTCTCAAACACTTCTTGAAGGCACCCTGAACTTCTATAATACTTGCATTTTAGCATGGTGCTGTCACTTAGTTATGTATTGTTAAGCACTGCATGTCAAAGATGCTTTTGAAGATACAAGATAAATTTCCAGTACTCAAAATACTAGTAAAAAGAGATGCAAGAATATGTATTATAGAACAATCTCAACTCAAAGTTGAATGGTAGAGTGCAATAATGGGGACTCATATTCATTGGCTGAGAGGGTCTAGAATACATTGCTGTGTTAATGCTTATTAGCTATATGCCTACAAATATACTCAGGACATGGGAAATTATTTATTTATAGTACTTTTAATATATTTTCATTATATATGTATTTACATATTTTAAAATAAACTATTACAGGGACAAATAGTTTCTTAAAGAATCAGAGTTTTTCAACATGGTATGTGTGATATAAACCAAGTCCCATTTGTATTTAAAACTGTGCAAGTATCATCACCTCTAGGAAATCTTGCCTGACACTTTCCTTCCTCTATGCCTCCTTTTATATGATTGACTTGTATTGATTTGTGATTTGCTGAAAGGTTGAGGTGTTTTATGATAAATTACAAATATAATCATCACGACCAAACTTTGACTGAATCAAGGAATCACAAAGTTGGACAGGATTTTAGATGTCACTTTGTCCAACCTCTTATTTAGCAAAAGAAGAAGTGCTGTTGCTGGTAGATGGTCACATTATGTTTGCTATGATAGCTTTCATTGTTAGAAAAGTTATCCCTCATGTTGAATAGAAAATTTCTCTGAGTGACAAGCACTTGTGGGTCTGAGTTTTAACTATCACAAAATAGACCTTCACATGGTTGAGCCCAGCAAGAACATCTTGAGCGTTCTCTTTATTTTTATTTAAACATTTTAAATTTAATTAATTTATTTTTGAGTCTTCGCTTTTTTAGGCTAAACATCTCCAGTTCTTGCACAGTTTTGGTGCGGGTAGAGCAGGGGCTGGTGTGTTTGGATTTCTTGCCTTCTAAAGCAACTTCATTATCTCTTTCATTTCACTTTCCTTTTCTGGGTAGTTTAAGAGTTTATCTATAAGCTAAATTTTACGAATTAGCTATGACTCCTTCGGCTGCAAGTAACAAAGAACTAATTCAAACCAACTTAAAAAAGACAAGTCTCATTCAACTGGCAAGTCTAAGGGGTGGCTTCAGGTAAAACTGGAATCTGGCATGCAATACCACCCGGGCTTTTTTCATCTCTCTTCACCTCTAAGCTCTGTTTACCCCTGTTTGACTTAATTCCTAAGTGGGCAAGATAACCAGCAGCCCCACACAGCTACCATTATAGCTTGTGATCACGGAAAAGGGGGGACCGTCCTTCGTGGTCTCTCTGACAAACTGTCTGAAGGAATTGGCTCAGCTTGGGCCATGAGCACATCTCTGAAGAAATCACGTGGCCAAATAGCTTGGAGTACTTTGATCAAGCCTGTTTTCTCTGAACACCTTCTTCACCTGCCTCTTTGGGCAGGAACAGATGTGGTTAGCCCCATCAGAGCCACCTGAATTGAGAAAGATTACTCTGTTACAAGGTCAGGGTTGGTTACCCAAAGGAGGCAATCCTGGGAAGACAAGCATACGTCTACCAAGTTACTTAACAGGCTATTCTAGAAAGGCCATGGTTCAAACATTTGAAGTCCCAAATGCAGAAATGATATGGCTGGGCAAAAACAGATGCAGTGATCAGATGGAACACCTTTTTATAATATGCAAGCCATTTTCTACTCAAAGTTTCCCAAAGGTACTTCATACATTATCAGGACTCAAGCCATATTTTATTGTAATATTGAGAAGCTGCCTACAATGTGCTTAGGTTAATATTTTTAAAAAGTCATTTTTCCTCACGAGCACAGTATATTGGCTTATGGTCATAGTGCTCACTTGCTTATATGTCTGAGTTATACTTCATTGTTTGAAGCAAGGTCATACATCCTGTTCCATTTCTAAATCTATTCTGATTTGAAAGATTCCCTTTTGTGAGACTCTTCTTTATGATATTTAAAAACTACATGGAGAGATGGAGCCTGAGCTGGATTAAAGCTGTACAAATCTGATTAACATCATCTGCTCTGTTTCAAAGGTCAGGTGCCCTCAACGAATTTGCTTTGAAATTATTTTGTTTATTTTGTGGGCATATACATCATGAGCTTTCTAAAGGTCAAAAGTAGAGTTTGTTCTTGGATTCTAAAGCAATCTGATTTCCATTTACAGTGTGCTTTGGTGACCCTAAATGCAGAAGCAGGCCCAGTTAAGTCATACTTCCAGTTTGTGTTTGGTTTAATTTGCTCAAGAAGAAAATCCCTCCTAGATTAAGGCAGTGCTGAAATATCATTTTTTCTAAATTACTTTTATTTTCAACTAGGTTCATAAGAGAATGCTACTCATAAATGACACCTGAACTCTGAATGTCGGTTTCATGGACATTCTGTTTTCAAAGATGTAGAAGCATCTTAGTCAGCTAGTGTCTCATCTGGAAACTAGAGCAAAGGTCAGAAAAATTAGGACTCCTGGGTTTTATTAAAATTTACATGGTAGGGGTCCTGAAGCTTTATTAATTAGTGTACTCAAAGTCACTGTGTGCTTCATAAAGAAGAGGCTCCAATAAATTATACAGTCTTATTTACTATTCAAAAAAATCAAGGTGCTAGTTATATACACCAAGTATTTTTTCATTAATTATTTTAAATGATTTTTTTCCCCTTACCATATGTACTTTGCAAGGATAAAAAGAAAATCTCTCAAAGTATTTTGTATTCATGTTCATTAACATTCCAGTGGAATAATAAACCTCAAAACGATTCATGTATGAATCAGTGAGGCATGGCTAATTACAGTTTTCAGCCACACAGCCAATGACATTCACCATGAAACACGGTGTCTGTTAAATGCATCTCTCTGAATTTTTGTTGGGGGAGAGTGCTAGGAAATAGGTAGGTTGCAAACTGCAATTTAAAAATGTCTAAATATTTTAGGGGCTTGTATATTATAAATCTCTTTCAGGCAAGTATTTATCACAAGCATGACATCCTGTTATCAAAACAGACAAAACCCCCGCAGATTTGCTTTAAAAACAAAACAGAAACAACCACAAGTCCTGAGAATGGACCATGTTCTACATGAAAACAGAAGAAACTTCTTGAAACATGAGGAAATACTATTTACCATAAATTTAAAAAATACATTTAATACTGAATTTTAGAATTTTCCTACTCCTTACAAAATCATCTTGATACTATGACTCTCTCCAGTCCACAAATATATTTAAAAGGTGAAAATCCAAAAAGCACACAGCGGACACAATAGAAGTTGAATGTCATGACTATAACACTCAAATTTAGAAGCAATTTTGTAATGCATATTCAAAATCTTTTCTATTACATTTGTGTTTAAAATATTTTCCCTTAATGTCATCCATATTGTTGACTACCCAAAGACTACATGAATAAAAACATTAGCATCCACATTTTATTTTTTAATTTAAATTAGTGTTACTTCAACTACATAACTAATATATGGTAGAAAAAAAAAAGTTCAGAAGTCAAGAACAGTATAAAGTATTTAGAATAGAAGGTACTTATGCCACCAATCCCATCGCATTGCTCCAATAATCTCACTGTTCACAATCATTTGGGATGCTCCCAGAAGTTTTCTACACAAGAGCAAGTACAAATCCACAATCTCTTATCTGCAATTCTGAAATCCAAAAAGGTCTGAAAACCAAAAGGCTGACCTGATATGGGGGTATTTATGCTGTTTGTTTATCCAGTATGTGTTTTGTTGCAGAAACATTAACGTTTGATGACAGGGTGCTATCCCAAGACTGTTGCAGGAATGTTAGACACTAAATGGTATAAGCATATATTACCTTTCTAAAAACCAAAAAATTGTTAATTTCCAAAACTGAGTTGTCCCCAAAATTCTGGATGAGTGATTAGACCTTGATAAGTATGTGTGTAACACACAATCCTTTCGTTTACACAAATAGATCATACCATATATACTGTCTGGCAAATACATTTATGGAATAGTTTAACATTTTCCCTTAAGACCTTACCATGGCCTACATGGTCTGGCTTCTTGTGACCTTTAGCCTCATGTCTCATGACTTTTCCTCTCATTCATTTTTCTCCAGCCAAATGGGCCTCCCTGTTCTTCTTCCATAATGCCAAGCTTATTCCTATTTAAGGCCTTTGCACTTACTTTTGCTTGTCTGGAATATTCTTCTGTAGAATTCCCCATGGTTGGCCTCCTCACTTCATTGAATTCTTTGTTCAAGTGATTCCTCTTCAAAGAGGCCTTCCTGACCACCCTACCCAAGAGAAGACCATCCATCATTTTTTTAGTCCCTCACTCTGCTTATTTTCATAGCATTTTTAAAAATCAATACCTATGATATATCATGCATTTGTGTATTAGTGTATGGTCTATCTTTTCTACTAGAAGTTCCATGAGGGTAGGAATTTTTTTGACTTATTTACTGCTGTACCCCTAGCACCTTGAACAATGCCTGACATTTAGTGGGTGCTCAGTAAGTATTTGTGGAATGCATTTTTTCTTTTGCCTTCAAGTTAAGCAATTCATTTGATAGTTAACAAGGCTCTCGGTTGCTCTTATGGAAAATTAAGAAGGATGCCTACCAAACTCTCATGGGCTGACCCTTGGGACACTTCCAGCGTCCTTCACCACTGCCCTACCTCCACTCTAGGTCAGGGACTGGTGAATCTACTCTGCCTGAGCTCTGGCACTTGCCATGTGCTTCCTCTGCCTCTGCCTAGAACCTCCTTCCTCCTCTATCGTAGGTAGAAAAACTGACTCATTCTGGTATTGATTTTATGCATTACGTTGATTTGCTCACCTGTTTACGTGTTTATGGCCTCCATTACAGTACAGTACCAGGGATTGTCTGATTCATTGGTGATTCCTATCCCCTAGCACAGTGACTGGCCCAGAGTAACCCTCAATCCATGAAAAACTAAGTTGAATTGAAGTTGCATCCCATTCTGAAGTAAATTCTCTACTAAGGAAATATACTTTTTAATTTTTAGGAAATTTTAGCTTTTAGTCGGTTTTATCCTCTAGAATGAAGAAATGCCTTTAAAGCTGCAGTGAAACCAGGGCAATGTGTTTAGAGTCATAATTTCTTGAAGGAGAGTGATACAAAATCATAGCTTAACTCTGAGCCACCCTAGTGAGATCACAGCTTGGACACTGAGCTTAGTTTTATGTACCTTATGTTCTAGGTAACTGGAAGATGATTGCAAAAGATGGCAGTAAGAAGGATTAAGTGTGATTATTTATGAGGCATAGTTAAAAGGAGACAGCATGCATATGTTCACTAACTATAGGGAATAGACTGGTCTCTAAATATCTGATGAACAAATCCACCCAAGGAATATATTTAACACAGAACAACAAAAGGATAAATGGGAGAATTTAAAAAAAGATAGGGGAAAAATTTAGAGAATTTTCAGCGTATCATGAGGTAGCTGTTACTAACAATCAGGATTGTCCAATAGCAGCCAAAAAGCTGAGTGATTATGGGGTGAGAAATTGTGAAGGAGGTGGGAACATTTGGGTACAGCTGAGTTTCCCAACCTTTTTATACTTTGTATTACGACGCATCATTTTTTCTTTATTCTAGTACGATATTTTTATATTGGATATGATTTTTTTCCAATTAAATAAATACCGCCAAGACTCTTGTCCAAAAGTCTGGACTATAACCTGTAATATATGGCTGAGATGACTTATGTAGAGGGTTCAACTCTTTGACCTCTAGGCCTTTCCAGTTTTGAAATTTTGTTTCCATGGTAAAGATTTCTTTGTAGGTCCTGTGAGCTGTTGGGAGTGTTTGGCTAAAGCAGAAGAGTAACGTGACGACCAGGTTTTTACACATCAGGGTGGTCCTAAGCTTTGCGATAATGAGAGGTTATTGTGGGGTTACTTTTGTCTCTTTACTTTATGGCTTAGCTGAATGCAGTGAGTGGTACAAATATCAGGTCCTTGTAGTACTTACCCTGTTTGCTTTTGTGGCCATAACATAGTCATTCTTTTACCACATATTTATTGAGTGCCTACTATTGAATAAGACAAAAACAAAGTTCTTGCCTTCAGAGGCTTACATTCTACTTGGCGGTGAAAGATGATAAACAGAAAGACATAAATAGGGACTATAATTTCAAGTAAAGCTACTTGCTATGAAGAAGTGCTATTATGGCACAACCCACAGAAGTCTTTCACAAAACTGTCTTCTACAATTCTCCAAAGGAGATATACGAAAGGCCAACAGTTACATGAATAGATGCTCAACATCATTAGTCATTAGGGAAATGGAAATCACAACCACAATGAGGTATCACCTCCCATCTGTTAGAATGACCATTAACAAAAAGAGAAGAGATAAAAAATGCTGGCGAGGATGTGATGAGAGAACCCTTGTGCACTGCTGGTGGGACTGTAAACTGGTACAGCCATATGGAAAACAGTAAGGAGGATCCTCAAAAAATTAAAAATTGAACTACCATATGATCCAGCAATTTCACTTCTGGGAATATATCCAAAGGAAATGAAAACACTAACTCAAAAAGATATATGCCCTCCCATGTTCATAGGAGCATTATTTACAATAGGCAAGACATGGAAACAACCTAAGCGTTCATCAACGGAGGAATGGAAAAAGAAGTTGTCGAATATATGCAATATTATATGGAATGTCATAATAATGGAATATTATTCAGCCATAAAAAACAAGGAAATCCTGCTGCTTGTGACAACATGGATGGACCTTGAGGGCAGTAGGCTAAGTAAAATAAGTCAGGGAGAGAAAGACAAAACTGTATGATCTCACTTATATGTGGAATCTAAAACAAAAAGCAAAAAACAAAAAACCTCACACCAAATTCATAGAAAAAGATCAGATTTGTGGTTACCAGAGGCAGGGGGTTGGGGGAGAGGGAACTGAGGAAGGTGGTCAAAAGGTACAAACTTCCAGTTACAAGATAAATTAGTACTAGATGTGTAATGTAGAACATGACTACAGCTAACACTGCTGTACGATATATAGCAAAGTTAAAGTAAATCTTAAAGAGTTCTCATCACAAGGATAATTTTTTTCCTTTTTTTCTTTCTTTTATTTTTATTTTATCTATATGAGAAGATGAATGTATTGTGGTAATCATTTCACAATATATGTAAGTCAAACCATTATGCTGTAAACCTTAAATTTATATAGTGATGTATGTCAATTATATCTCAATAAAACTGGGAAAAAAACCTGTCTTTTAGGTCTACAGACATAGTTTATGCATTTAATGCTAACTTCTCAAAAACCTTTACTTATGTTTCTTCAATATCACGAAATGAACAACACACTGCCTCCAGCAATATTTCTTTAATTTCCCTTTTCCCCTTTTCTTGATCTCATTCCTCTCCTCTCTACTAAACCCCAGTTCCTCTGAAGCTTCTCCTTAAGTCCCCAAAGAGTTCCCAGTGTAAAAGAGGTTTTTGTTGTTGCTGTTTTTGTTCAGTTTTTGTTCTAGTGAGGATTTAGGAAGTGCTATCTATTTTAACTGTTCACGTGATGAGGTATACAAGGTGGTAGGCTGCTTGGTTTTTTTGTTCATTTGGTTAGTTCTTTTTGTATGTATTTATTTAATTTTGAATTATTCTTATTCTGCTAGTCTCAGTGATAAAAGCTTGTGGTGAACCAAAGCCACCTGTAGCAGATACTACTGGTGTCCCACTAGTACATGGCAGCACCTGTATCTCTGGCTTCCTCAGGCCACTGAGCAACTCTGCCTTTCATACAGTATGATGAAGAGCCAGGGACTTAACAGCCCCTGAAAACAGCCCCCAATCATTGACTGATGGGAGATGGTGTTTAAACAATAGGGTTCTTTTGTCCCTTTGGTGGGATAGCTCAATCTAAGGCATGGGTTCCACATTGTTTCCTAGAGTTCCCCAGGAAGATTAAGCCCTGATCACCCCGAGCAGTAACATGCTTGATAGTGCACCTTCTTTGTCTGTCTTCCCTTCCGCATTTCACTTTCCTATTCTCCCACTGCAGTTTCCTGCAATTACCTTCTAAATAAACTACTTGCTCTTGAATACTTGGCTCAGGATATACTTGTGGGAGAACACAAACTAAGATGCCATCTCCAGGTGATTACTAATGAACCTGCAGATCAGATAGTTATCTCCCCACTGATTATCTCGGCACTTGCATGTCCTGGGTCCAAGGCAAGTGCCATATCTTTTTTTTTTTTAATTTTTGAATTTAATTTTTTTTACACAGCAGGTTCTTATTAGCCATCCATTTTATACACATCAGTGTATACATGTCAATCCCAATCTCCCAATTCATCACACCACCACCACCACCCACCACTGCTTTCCCCCCTTGGTGTCCATACGTTTGTTCTCTACATCTGTGTCTCAATTTCTACCCTGCAAACCGGTTCAAGTGCCGTATCTTAAAGCTCTCTGTGAATGTATATATTGCCGAAGATCATGCCAATCAGCGTCATTCACAGCTGAATATGCATATGTTCACAGTAGGTTGCCAGACAATGGTTTAATAATCATTAGATACCACTGTTTAGATCCTAAGTATGTTCATGATATTTACCTTCTGATTGCTAAGTAGGAGATGTAATGATTATAGGCTGATACTTTCTCAGGAGAAGAGTCTAGTTGTTGAGCTTTCCAGTTTCATATGGTTCAGTAATTTCTTCCACATTTAGTGTGGCTGCTGACATTTGTGTTGAAATCTCTCATGCCAATCAGCCTGAGAAAAGCTGGGACTGCTTTTTTCTCATAAAAGCTAGAAAGAACTGCTGTATTATAGGAAACCACCCCAAATTAACAGAAGATTAGGGTAGGAAGCCTGGAGAGGGGTTTTAATCCCTGTGCATGAAATCAGTCTGTACACATATTGATCACATTTCTGCTGTTTTAACTGCAATTGTTTTCAATTTCACCTATTCACAATTCTCTATTATTTTATGTGGCCACGGTGTCTGTGTGATGACCTGGAAACTGACCATAATCCACTGTGACATTCTCTGAGTCAAGCTTCCTAAGACATCAGTGTTTCACACCAGGACATTTTGTAGGACACCTCGCTACGATCTGTGGGGTTCAAACATCAGAAAGTATGTGAGATCTAAGACTTGGTGTAATCACGGGCATGTAATGAAGCAGGCCAAAGAAAAAAGTGAGAGAAAAAAAAAAGAAGGGGCTTCCCTGGTGGCGCAGGGGTTGAGAGTCCGCCTGCCGATGCAGGGGACACGTGTTTGTGCCCCGGTCCGGGAAGATCCCACATGCCGCGTAGCCGCTTGTTCCGTGAGCCATGGCCGCTGAGCCTGCGCGTCCGGAGCCTGTGCTCCGCGATGGGAGAGGCCACAACAGTGAGAGGCCCGCGTACCACAAAAAAAAAAAAAAAAAAAAGAAAACAAAACAAAAGGAAATGGTGTCAGGGAAAGTAGGGACCTATCTAAGTGTTTGTCCAAGTGTAATTGCTCTTTGTTTCTCCCTTTTAAATGTAAAAGATGACTGGCAAATGTCTCTTTTTCCTTGGCACTAGGATTGGGAGGAAAGAAAAGGGAAGGAGGCAATCTTGAAGAAGAGAGGTAGCTATAAGAAGCAGCATGGTGTAGTAACAAGAGTCTGAAGGCCAGGATTCTAGTCCCTGTTTATGAGCTGTATGCCTTTGTGAAATTAATTAGCTGTTCTGCAATTTTCAGTTGCATTTATTGCAAATTATGTTTGCTTCTCATCCTCCACTAGACCAGGAGCATCTTGAGGTTAAGAACTGAGAATGATTCAATTTCTCCAGCACCTATATGGCACTGGGCAGAATATACTGAATGATTTTGAATTTAAAAAGGGAGCAAGCACAAGGGCCCCACGGTGGTCAGACATGAACTGAATTGATCTGCACCAAAGAAAGGGAGAAAGGGAGAATAGAGAATAATTCATTTAATTACTTGAAATACATTTACTGAATGCCTATTATATACATATATATATATATATATATACACTATATGTAATACATATAGTATGGGTGTATATATATACTATATAAAATATTATAATAGAAATTTTATAGTATATAAATATATGGATTATATATAATAAGTTTAAATTAAAATTTATAATTTAAAATATTATACTATATATATTATAGATACTATTTATACTTTTAGGTGCTAGAAACACTGCAGTGACCAGAAAAAACCCCCCATATCTATAACAGATCTTTCATTCTAAGGGGCAAGATGATAAAAAAGATAAATTATATACAATGCTTGGTTAAGGACAAGAGCTAAGGAGAAAAATAACACACAAAAAGAAGAAAGGAATGGACAGGGGAGTCTGTGGTTCAATTTTGGTTAGGATGCCCGGGAAGGCGGAGTGCAGTCATACACCGGTTCAATTAAGGCCTGCGAGCCCGCGTGCTGAGAGAAACAAAAGAAAGGAAGGCTCTAGGAATCAAAAAAGATCCAGAGTGAGGAAACGAAGCGAAAGGAAATTCAGACAGTGAGGAGCAGTGAGGGGTGGGTAAGTTGAGCGCGTGTGGGAGGAAAGAAGGAAGCAAAAATGCAGCACAGCCTAAACAATCATGTTACTTTTTACATTTGGTAAAAAACAAAGATTGTGTGGATTATGACGAAATCCCTTTCTGAGGGAATTCTCACCTCAGCTTCTTTCCAGAGAGCAACAGTGTTTCCCGTCCCCTAAACAGGGATTTTTGTCATTATGGCTTTTGATTGGCCCGGTATAGGCACGTGCTCTGCGCCTATTGGCCCGAGCGTCTGTCCCCAGACGAGTAGCCATGTTGGGGCCCTTCCCCGCCGCGGGGCCGTCTGGGAGTTGTAGTCCTTGCTCCGCTCCGTCCAGTGGAGAGACTTTTTGCCCTCTGCTCCTGGGTCCCTCAGGCAGCCACTCCCGTGGGCACACGCCCAGGAACTGCTTCTGCCCCGCGCTCCCTCCCTCTGCCTTGCACTTCCCAGCTGCCAAGATCTTGGAAGGTAGGGGCGGGGGCAAGCCCAAGTCGAACAGTGTTTCTGTGGCGCAGATCCGGGGTTCCGCGCGCGTCTGGTCATTACTCCGGCGGTCCAGTGGAGCGGGGACTGACTGGGTCCACGCAGCTCGTTGGGAGGTAGTGGGGGGTCTGTCGGGAGGACCCTCCCACCTCACCTCACCTTCTCACGGCCACTTCCTGAGCACCGGCCCTAACCCTAACCCGCCCCTCCTCCGCCGCATTTTGTAAGTGGATAAACTGAGGCATGGGGGCATGCCAGCGGTTCCAGGGGACGCCCCAGCTCCTGGCTCTGGTGGTGTAGTTAGCATGGGCCGCTTTTGGATTTTTTTCAGTTTTACTGTCAAGTAGCAGGACTCTATGCCCCAACAGATGTGTGTTAAACATCCAGCTCTGGGTTCCCCAGGGGGAGGGAGGAGGGTTTGAACAAGTGTCCAGGAGGAGGAGCTAAGCAGGACACGGGGAAGGCAATATTTTGGGAGAGAATTTTACATTTAGTATTTAAAAGACACAGAATAATTCATTATGGTGGGAGAAATCAGTACTCTGTTGGACTTCTTTACATCTATTTTATGGCTTAATGTAGATTTTTTTTTTCTTTTTTTTTTTTTGCTGTACGCGGGCCTCTCACTGCCGCGGCCTCTCCCTTTGCGGAGCACAGGCTCCGGACGCGCAGGCTCAGCGGCCATGGCTCACGAGCCCAGCCGCTCCGCGGCGTGCGGTATTCTCCCGGACCGGGGCACGAACCCGCGTCCCCTGCATCGGCGGGCGGACTCCCAACCACTGCGCCACCAGGGAAGCCCTAATGTAGTTTATATATGAAAACATGCGGGGATTTTTAAGGTGTGTTCATGTGGGGGAAAAAGGCCGGTTAGTGGAACTGGAGCTGGATTTGCAGCTTCCTCTCTAGGATCAAATTCTGCCTCTGCTGTATGACTAGCCACTCACAGTGCTTACCGGGGAAAAAGGAACTTAAGGCTCCCTGCCTAAGTGGCCCAAGGAGCTGCCAGGAGCTGAAATCTAGATGAAGTCTTGCTTGTGAAAGTTTGCCACATTCAAACTTTTATTATTGTGCGTCTCTCAGAACTGTGCTTGGGATCGGCATAGAATACAGCCTGTGGTCATGTTAGAAAGGCTCAGATCCTTGCTGGGTCCGGGACTACCGAAAGCGGCCCCGACTCGCACCTGTTAAGGTCCTGTACCTGAACTCTCCATTTTCTGGCTCCATCTTACCGCCGGCGGCCCGGGCAGCGGAGGCTTCTGGGAGTTGTAGTCCCGCCTCTAGTTTCCCGGAGGGCTGGTACTCCATCTCCCAGCGTGTCATTTGGCTTGGCGAGGTGTCTCCTGGGAGTTGAAGTCTCACTTCCAGCAGTTCTTTGGAGCGGCCCCTTGACTCGGAACTACAACTTCCATGTGGCCCTGCGTTCTTGGCTGCTTGCCCTGCGTCCACTAGCTGCGAGCCGGGTGTAGTGAAATATGTTTAGCAAAAATGTGTTCTTGTTGTTTTTGATTATATACGCTCTTCCAAGTACTACGTGGGGGTTTATTGTATACGCTTTTCTAAGTATCTTAGGAATTATGCATGCTTTCAAACAGTGCTAACACTCAACAGTTTACAGAGCATGTTCATACTATCTCTCGTAATAATACTGTATCTCCCATTTGTAGATAAGAAAAAAAACTTGAGAAGACGATTTGTACACGGTCACACACCTAGTAATCAAATGTAATATATCTTTTATAAATAGATATTACATTTAGTTATAGTTTAATCCTCTCAAGCGCTATATGAGAGAAATAGCCATTTTCATATGCATTTTCCATATTAGAAAACTAAGGCTAGGAAATAGGGAAGTTGAGCAACGTGTCGAAGTTAACTAAGCTAGTGAATAGAACTACCGAGATTGTAACCCAGTCTGCTTGACAGACTCTGCTTAGAAAAAGACTGTATCTTATGGAGGTGGAGGGAGCCCGAGCTTTCTGAGTACGGAATTTGGAATCTTTCCACTATACCATGTTGCCTCTGTAGTTAAACACTAAACGGTAGTGCTGCAAAAACCTTTGAGATCATTTAAATCTAAGGCAAAGATCTTGGAACAGTTCCTGGCATATAGTAGAGGTTCCACAAATGTTAGCTATATAGAGTTTTATAATACTTTTATTTTAGAGATGAGGAAACTGGTGCAGGTGGTGAAGCAGTTTGCCCAAGGTCACACAGCTGGTCTGTGTCAGGGATGAGACTAGACCCGAACGTCTTGTTTCCAAGTCCAGGGTTATTTTCATTCTACCAGCAGACAGCTAGCAGGGACGCCATATGTGAAGCTGTTTAGATAATGGTTTCTCTTCTAATTTGTTCTTCCTAGGCCACAGACCAGGACCAATTGTTGTAAAGTCTCTTTTCTTATTATTGGTAACGTGATATTTCATGAATTCAACAAATGTTTTCTGAACATATAGCTCATATCTCTTTAGGTACAGGGCCTCATGGATGAAAAGTAGCTAATGGGTTAGGGCTAGAAGGACCTTATAAATCATCTAATCTAACTTTTTCATTTAAAAAATTAGGGAATTGAGGTATAACATTCACAGCCTTCATCTCATGCCCTTGTGTCACAAGCATTCTGTTTCTGCAAGGAGGCAGGGTTCTGGAGGCCTCATAGTCCTGTATGTGACCTTTTAGGCTCATGCTTTATTTTACTTAGTATCCTTGTCCTTGCCTTATTCCTGTACATGTTTGGTGGAATGCTTTAGGAAATGTTTCTGTGTACATGCAGCTCTCTTTCTTTTAATGTACATGCAGCTTCAATATGTTCCATTTGTATTTTGGGAATTAGTCTTGTCTTGGCTCCCAATACTCTTTTCTCTTTTGTCCTGTAAGACACGAGAACAAAATCTGACATTGTGTTTGCATTCACATATGTTAAAATCTAATCCTCTAATATAGGGTAACATAAATGAACACATGAGTTGTTTGAATTATATAAAACTTTTGTTTTAGAAGACACATTGGCCTTTTCAATTATGTATTCACAGATAAAGCAGATTACTCTCACCTCTTGTGTGTGAAAGATGATTTCTACATAATTAGATAATAAAGTAGCAGTTTTATAAATTACTGGCTGAACGTTCCTGAGATAGTCATTATTGGAGATGTTCTCCTGGTCACCCTCTGTCCCACCAGCACTCTCCTAAATGACAGTCTGATCAGTCAGCTTCCAGCAAAGTGCGTGACCACTAGTAGACACGGAAAAAGTATTTGTGGAATTGCATTCATAAGCACCTTTGAGCTCTATTCCCACATTTTCCCCCTGAATTTCAGTTTTCTCTTTTAATGCAGAAAGGCAGCTTTGAAATACAAGCTGTTGCTACAGCTTTTGAGGTCATCCTCTGAGGGACTGTTGCTTTGGGAATGTCCAGGTCTGTGACTTCTAAGATGAGAAAGTGATCCAAATAGCAAAACATAGAGAAGCAATAGAGAGTGGTAGTCTGAAGGCCTATGACTGAAATCCCAGCCCTGCCTCTTAGGCATGTTACTAAGCCCTTGGTTTCCTCTTCTGTAAAGCAAGGATAATAAGCATTCTACCGCATAAAGTGATGATAAAGATTAAATAAGATAGTGTGTTTAAAGCTTTGAGCATGTCAGGTGCTCAATAGCTTGCATTTAATAGATGAATAGATCTTATTTTTGTCATTATTAATGTAAACGTGTATATGAAAATATATTTACTCAGGATTTAAACTGGAGGCAGATATCTGTTTTATAAAAGGGTCTTGTCATTTGTTTTCTTAGGGTAGCAAGCTTGGCCATCACATATAAACTATGAAGTTAACTGCAACTCTTGATAATCCATCTTGTCAGCTCAGTGAAAGTGTCTTGTGTAGGCAGAGAGATAGTGAAGCTTTTGGCTCTTCATTGACTGCTGACAGGTCCCTGATCTCTGGTTTCATCTATATATTAAATTTTGGGTTGAAAAACGGTCAGTAGGGCCTTCTGTCCACTTCTGGAAAGGACTGGGCCTATCCCAGGAGCCTCAGGGTTAAAGTGAAGCAGTTGTCATCCAGCTGGTGAGTAATCCCGGGGCAGTGGCTATGTGGACACGGCAGTGCTTCTTTCTAAAGCTGACAACTTCAGTAGCCATGAGGTTACTGATAGAGAGGTGAGTTACAGAAGAGGGGTGATGCTGGGGACAGGGAAGGAGGAATGAAATGAGGATCATAGCGAGAGCAAAGAGCAGATGAACGAAGGAAACAGTTGAGGCCCTCAGTCGAGTTGTCTTAAGCATGTATTTATTGAGCACATTTATCCTGCTTCTAGGTCTGTGCCAGGCACTACACTTATGCAGTGGAGATACAGCTTTGAATGTGGCTGACATGGAGGTGGTCATGGTGGTGGGTTGTGGTATATTCTAAGCAGGGAAGAACTTGAAGGAAAGAAGCAAGGAAGGTAGAGTGTGTTGGGATTTGATGAGCAGAAAAGTCTTTGTGCTTGGGGTATACAAATCACTGAATGGGGAAGGTGGGAGAGATCAGGCTGCAGAGGCAGGCATGGGTGATATTATGCAGAGTCCAGTTATCTGTACTGCAAAAGAATTTTGGACTTTATTCCAAGGGTATTTGTGAAACCATTTAAAAGTCTTAAGTGGAGAACTAAAATTATTGGATTTGTTTTTTAAAGGCTTTGGATGCAGTATGGA